TTTGCCTTAGTTCTAAACTGAGATGGTTATTGCAAAGAAATGACATCATTTTCATAAAAGTAGTTTTAGTCATTGCTATTCTACGGATTATTTCTATGTCTGGATCTAGTTGGTCCGTTATCACAGTTCCCAAACATGTCATTTGCCGCCCACATAATTATATTATTTACTTTCATGAGACTGTTAAATACCGCCTGAATGATATGGTATCATTACGGATCAGCACTACATACTAATTAACGTGTACAGAATGGGACATTGTGAATATGGAAATATTAAAGATTCAATATTCAAATATGAAATAAACAAACTGCATGATATGAAAATGTATGACGGTATTGTTTATTTTTGTTTTGTATTTGATTAATGATTGATGTAGCTGTGTCCAGGGCAGATGAAGCTCTTTTGGGGGAGGGTATGCACCACCCATCCCTGGAATTTGAGACAAAGATGACCAAAAGGTACCCCAATAATAGCGGTTTGGTTAGTGATGGTTTCTATAGGAACTTCAAGTCCGCTGACTATGTGAAAATAACTGATTTTTTGTCTCAGTTGTCTTGGGATAATTTATTTTTAAGAAAACCACTGAACCAAACTGTGAATATTTTTTATGATATAGTTTACTTAGCTATAGAATTATTTATCCCCCTAAAAAGGTATTCAAAACGTAGATTCCCTTCTTGATTCTCTTCAGAGTTAAAGGACCTGATAGTTAAGAAAAAGAAAGCTCACAAAAAATGTCTTATCTAAATTACTTCTGGATTATCGCACTTTTTCTTAGCTCTGGGATAACTGTAAATTGTTCAAAACTGAAGGCTACAGAAATCATATTTATTTAACAGAATTATCACTAGGCATTCATTTAAAGGGATTTTGGTCTTTTGCGAATCACCAGGGAAATCCTTCCTTGCCTGCTGCATTGAGGTATGGTGGTGTTGAATCCAGTCACAGACCAGATATTGTAAATCTTTTTGCAGAATATTTTTCTACAATCTATTCCACTCAAATATGTGACATATCCAGTGACTCATCTTCACTTGATCTTACTAACTTGACTGGTTTCAACATAACTATATATGATATTTATTTAAAATTATCAGAACTGGATGTGAATAAGGGTAATGGTCCTGATGGATTGCCTCTCAACTTTCTCAAGAATTGTTGGTTTATATTATCCAGACCTCTTTTTCACAATATATCGGGAGATAATTCATTAGTGAATAATTACAGGCTCATTAGTATTTACTGTAATACTAAAGATATTTGAATGTTTTGTATGTGACTATTTTAAAGCTTCACTGAAAAAAACAGCTAGTAGGCCTATAATTTGGATTTCAGAATAGCAGATCAACTGAATGTAATATACTAGTGTTTATTGACTTCCTGAGGAAGGCCTTGGAAAGGGGCTGTAGGGTATGTGCACTATACACTGATTTCTCCAAGGCCTTTGATTATGTCAATCGTAATATTTTAATAGTTAAAACTTAAAAAAATGTGTGTTGATGATGGCCACTTTTTAGATGGCTGAGAACATATTTGATTGACCGAGTTTTGATGGTGAGTATCAGGGATTTTGTTTTTAGTGGTTCATTCAGGAGTATTCACGGTTCTCATTTGAGACCCTTGTTATTTAATATATTCATCAATGGCATACACCACTGCTTCCAGCACAGTTCACCTCTTCTTTTTGCGGCCATTTTAAAATTATACCCAATTATCAATGATACAGAAAATTGTGTTGTTAATCTTCAACACAATCTTGATTGGTTGAGTGAGTGGTGTGTGTTGAATGCCATGGCCCATTAACACATCCAAGTGTCATGCTGTTTCTTTTGGACAATTGAGAGACCCAATGGAATATAATTATAATATACAGAACATTCTTGTTGACTGAGTTACTGAAATTTGTGATCTGGAAATTAATTTAGACTCTACACTTTTATTTGAATCACATTATATGTCAATAATTTCCAAATCTTTACAAATGCTTGGCTTTATAAAAAGAATCACTAGAGGCTTTCAGAATATGGAAGCGATTAAATTACTATATTGTTTCTTTAGTTAGATCTCATCTAGAGTATTGTTCTTGTGTATGGTCTCCATCTTATAACATTTACATATCAAAAATTGGGACAGTTCAACAAAAGTTCTTGAAATATGTAGCATACAAACAGGGTAAGTATACCTTTTGAATTAAATCAAGTAAATTATGATCAAATTGAAACCCAACTTGGTATTCTGTCATCGTATGACTGATAATTAATTAAATATTCAAAGATGCCTTATGGCATAATTAATTTTGACAGTCTTATGTCCTCAGCTACTTAAGCGGTTGGTCTGCATGTACTTCTCTGTAGAACACAATTAAACCAAACTTTTTATGTTCCTCTTCACAGAACCAACTACGCATATAATAATTTTTTATCTCCAGCACTAAGATGGGCAAATATTCACCCAGATCTAGATTTTTTGCACTGAAGGATGAATTTATTACTGGTCTCAGGCATATGTTTATTTGAGTGGCTGTGGAATAGGCGGTCATCATTTTGATATGTATAACTAAATTATGTGATTAAGTTTGTGATATTTATACTTTATTTTGTTTTATTGTATACATTGTAAACATTGTTAATCTTATTTGGCAGCAGCCTGTTGAAAATAAAAAAATTAAAAGAAAATAGATTATTTCTTCTTTTTATTTACTTATTACATTAACTACTTTAGAATCGAGAATTTGTCACTCCATTGGTGTTTGTGATGAAGCAGTGACTACCTTTGAAAATGAATTTACTTAAGTAACTTCAAATGCATCCTAAATTTAACCTGTAATCCTCTTAAATCCAAAAGAAAAATTGCGAAATGCATGTATAAGAACATTTACAAAGGCAACACTGAACAAATTTACTCCAAAATGAATAAAATATCTATATCAGATAAAAATTAATTTAGTACAGCCACATAAATGTTTCTTCAAATATATGGTAATCACAGTAGTAGTAATAAAATGATGTACTTAAAAATAAAGGGGGTGTCACTCAGAGGTAAACTTTAACATTTTTTTTTTGATTTAATATTATCTACATATTCTACACACTTGTTTAGTTTGTGATTATTCCATTTAATTAATCGTTTTCATTAATTTAAAAAATATTTTCTATAATTATGGATATTCAAAAATGTTCTTTGATGAATTAAAATTTTTTAAGCTTACGCTAGTTGTTTTTGTTCTATAAATATGAATTTTGTTTTCAATCTAATGTTGGCCCAACTGACATGGGAAAGGGCTTTGTAACATAGTTTACTAAAATTTACTGTTGTTTAGTTTATTGAAAGTAATACAAATAAACAATTTGACCTTTTATATATGTAGTTTTTGTTAAAACAAAAGAAAGTTTTAGCACTTCTCTCCTCTGGCAATGGTAACCTCTTGTGGAATGATAAGGCATGCTTTGTATCAGATTTTGGATCACATTTTGTTGAAAATTGTCCCATTCCTGTCACAGTATGTTACAAAGCTCTCTAGATTTTTTTGGAGTCAGCACATGTCTCTTTAAATGTCTACCATCCTACTTCAACTATGTTGAATAAGATTTAAAGCTCGAGTTGCTAGCAGGCCAACCAAATAGCGCAATTTGAACAGATAAATGTTTTTATTGGAGAACACAAAAACCACAGAATATAATTTAATTTTAACAACTTGATTATCTTTGTTCGATACAAATTTGTCATGGGTGTTCTTTTGTTGTTACATTTTTTTATATGATTTACCAAACCTAGTATTGTATTTAGCATCTAGTATTATTATTTATTTATTTTTTAGCATCACTTATTTATTTTCTCACGTACTTAAAATAATAATAAAAGAAAAGATTGGAAATAATTAGTTATGTGCATCCACCCTTTGGGATGACTAGGCTAACCTTTCTGTTAATCATTAAGAATAGGTCAAAAGCCAATTACATAAATACCTATCAGACACAAAACAATTCAATCAGTGTAGCCATCTAAGTACTTAAAATAAACCTTGAGTTTCAAATGAAATATTAAATATAGGAACAATCATAAAAAACAGATGAGCATGTTCAATGAAAAAATGGATAAAGGACACAGGAATAAAAAAGAAAAACGAAAATCCAGAGAATAAAGTGTTTAGCAAATTACATAAAACACAACACAGAAAACTAAAAATGGAATGTTCGATCAAAGAAATTACCAATACAAAACATAAACAGAATAAATAAGAAATTTATAAAAGAAAATACAATTATAAAAAAATTAAATAGTTTCTTTGTATTAAAATATTACTATGAAAGTATTAAAAAACCATTTAAGTACATTGTAAAACTTTTCAACACAAACTTCTGTAAATTGACACATACTGTAAAAAAAAAGGTCTAATACATTGTTGTCTTATATTAATGAAAAAAATAGAAAGTAGGTATAGGAAGTCCTGGCAGCAAACAATATTTTTAGTTATAAGTATGTATAATGGGACCATGGACGTATGTATATGGACTTTTATAAGAATGGAACATATTGAAAGGATCCAATAAAGATTTAATAATAAGATCTCTAGGGCAGCATAAACAGCTAATAGCTATCAATATTAAGAATTTTTAATTCCTGAAAAACATTTCAAATTTTTTTTGGGGATACATATTTACCCTATTGGACAATATTAACATAATTCAATAATTACCTTGAAGAAGCAAGCACTCAAAATTACCAAACCTAGTTATTAATGATACACTTTCACAATGTTACTTAATCTTGTAACTGTAAACCTTGGTAATAAAATATATACTTATAGTTTTTAACATTTATTAACACTGAAATACAACATAAGTCTGTTATGCTAATGATTGAATGACAATTTGAATTGATAAAAGACTTGTGGGCACTAATAAATAAATCATGTTATAATAACATGTTTCTGTTTTATTTGTTACCAGTACAATATCTGAATTGTAGGAAAGAATATATTTTTTGATTGTACTTACCTCATTTTGTTTCTCTTGTTCCTCTAGACTAATAGCTTGATCTATGGCCCTAAATGCTTCATCGTGTTTAATCTTTATCAACTGATATGTTTTTTCCCATGAATACACTTGTTGTTTAGTAGAAAACATTTTTCTGACAACTAGATTATTTTAAAGTTAGGTTATGTACCCTCTAAAAAACAACATTAAAACAAAAAAAATGAAATAACTATTATTTGAGTCAACTCCAACAACCTCAACAATCATACCTCATAAAAATGTAGTAACACTTGATAATTTTATGACACGAAAAAACTTAGTAGCCTATGTTGAACTTCGTACCTAAAAGATGTTTATATTTATGTACCAACTCGACATGTCACTGATCTACTAATTAACTGGAAATTTTTAAAAAGCTGTCTTTTAAATTTACCGCTGAACATGATATTTCTAGAATAGTTACTCAACGCCTCATGATTGGTCAATATTAGTATTCTCGTAAGAATGCCTTACAGAGATGTCAGATTTTAAGTTTTAACAGGAAACTCGATATAAGAATTAAATATAAAGAAGATATTGTAGCGAGATTAAATAAAACGTGCGGTTCGAATTTATATAAATATATTTATTTATAAGTTTACAGTATCGGTAATATCTTAATAACTAAACTAACTCCTAAACATAGTTACATATAGTTACTATGTTCTAGAACATTCCCACTTCTAATTCGCCTACGTGATGGCTTGTTGTCGCTCGCACTCGATACCCCTGGAAACTTCGAGTCGCTTTCGAGATGCAACCGCTACACGGGACACGCTGAATGCATGTTTGTAACAATATATTTACTGCTCCGTAACTAACTTTACTATATTATTTATTACTGCATTATTATTACTAAAAAGATGACTAGTATAACACATTTTGCAAACATATTGCAGTTATCCCACAATACGCAACGAGAAGAATAACAGAATGTAAAATAGAATAGAAATTTACAAAAAAAATAAAATTCCTCTAGTTTTCTGCCTATCATTAATCGCAGAAGTTTTATTTAAAAATGCCTTTATAAAAGGTAATACAATTAAACCTTCGGGCTACATTATAACAGAACATTTTTGGGACTAACTAATCCATCATCAGTTTATTTAGCAGGTGTAAATGAGTCAAGCCACTAAATATGTGGATAAAAACCCTTAAAATGGTAGAAAATTTGTTATTTATTACATCTTTGTTAATAAGTTGGTGTCATGTGTAAAGTTTTTAACAGGTACCCTGCATGACAAACGTTAAGACTCCCAATTTGGGGATTGCTGACCCTGAGACGATCAGCTCAGGCCCACCATGGTCTCACTAAGCATTCTACTATATAATTCATTGTCAGTTTGAACTCTCATTGGGTGATTTCTTCGATCTGGAGTTTTGTTGTCCTGCTTTAGACTTTCCGCCTCTTCAGGACGTGGTTTGTTTTTTGGGTGGCTGGTGTTTTTTTCTTGTTGTGGGTCCACTAGTGATTTTGGTGACTAGTCGTCGGAGGAGCACCTGGACAATCAGAGGTGAAAGGCAATGGGCAAACGGTTCTTTTCACAATTTATTGATCTAAAAAATATAATTACAGACAGGTATCGCAAATAGGATCGGGAAACCGCAGAAAACCGATCGCCCCCTGTCTAGAACAAGCTTGAAGTAAGCATTTAAAGTTAATGGCGACGACGATAGTAGAGGGGAGTTGCCTCCGGTATGTCAATGTATTCACTAGTAGTGAGGTGGGCGATTTGTGTAGGGTGAAACTTTTACCGTCGAGATCTGGTTTAAGAGAAGCTTTCTGGTATTAATAACTCTGAAGAAATCTCTTTGAGTGGATTTCTCCAGAGGGAGGGATGTGTGTGTTAGTGTAATTGAATGCTTTGGGTTATGTACCTGATGGAGAAGGGGTGACAGGAGTGGGTTGTGGTTTAGGGGGGTGTGCATGGCAGTCGCATACGATGGTTGTGTATTTGTGATGGGTGTAGGGTTGTGACTTTCTGGAGGGGGTTTGTTTATATTTTGAATTGGTGTGGGTTGAATTTGTGTAATATGTATGGTTGTGGTATATTGTTGGTTGGTAGCTTGAGTGGTAGTGGGAGAGGAAGTAGGATTAGGAATGGCAGACAACCGGGGCAGCTGCAACTGTGCGATCAACCGATCAATCTGGTCGACTGGGAGGTTGGCTACGAGGTCTGTAACGAATGTATCAGTGATATTAATGATTACAGGGGTGGTTGTATCTTCAGGAATGTGGAGAGTGGGTGGAGTGAATGCTGCAGGTATAGGCAGTGTAAAAAAAGAGTGGTTTGGTGATAAAGGTAAGGGTAATAGAGGGTTTGGTGGTGTGTTATACTTAGACAAAAGTGGAAAATCGTAGGCATATGTGTCACCTTGAATAATTTTAGTGTGAGGTGTAGTTGGAGGAGGATCGGGTGGTTCAACCGGTTTGGATTTGTTTGACCTGTTAGGACGAGTCGAGCGGGGCATTTTAACGACTTATGTGGACACTAGGTTGCCCTAGATAAAGCCTGTTTTTATACTTTACGTGCAATGAGTAAAATAGAGGGTAGCTGGACTATACTAACACTTAACAGGTACACTAGCGGTTCCTCGTTGTGTACTTATACTTTTTAGTACTCTTCGAGGACAATAAAAGATATTCAGACAGCGTCAGCTAGTCCAGCTTCTTAAACGGAAGCTGGCAGCCCCGGCAACAGCGTACGAAGTTGGCCTTTCTTTCTATAAACACCTTACTATGCATACACCGTGACCGACAGAATCTCCGTAAAAGACTAACCTGCTCAAAATTTCCTGTATTGTCCCTAAAACTCACTCGAATTCTTTATTTTTTTGTTCTCCTTTGTTTCAGGCCACGTGGTCGTCCAAAGCAGTCAGAACTATGGCTTTGTCTATGGCTGCGGTCTGACCATGCGGTGTAGGCATTCTTCACACTACCTAAAAACACTTCCCGACACTTCGAATGCTCACAGTGAACGAGCGTTCTACTAGGTATTCTCTTATTAAATATACATTCATACAATCTTTGTATTTTTGCATGATTTCGCTATAGTTAAAGCGGTTCTTTGTAATATTGGTATAACTTAAGGATACACCTTATTTTCCACATACTTTTGTCGGAAATGGGTCCCAATATTATTCTCAATATCTTTCTTTCAAAAGAACTATTTTCTTGTTCTTTCTGCCATCTGCCATTATCCATGTTTCTGCGATACATGTGGCTATTTTTGGTATGATGGTTTTGACGATCCAAACACTTGCTACAGAGAAAAGTATGTTTTGTCAGCAAACATTATCTTTCTCCGTATTTCCTCTTCGCTGCTGTCCTTAGTTATCTATACTCCCAGGTACGTGAGCTGTTTTATAACTTCAATATTTGCGAATACTATGTGATTGTACGACTATTGTCAAATTTTGCAAGGCTCGCTTGCAAAAAGGAATCGAACAGCCATAAAAGTATATTTGAAGAGCACAGACTAGTAAAAACAACACGAGATAAATCTCTAAATCATTGAAGAATATTATATGAACACTAAGAAAAATAAAAAAGGTTTACCTAAACGTCAAATAAGATCTAAGAGGGCTATCAAAAAAGCAGGAAGAAGAAAAGGAAACTTATTTAGAGAAAAAAATGGTAAAATAATATCAATTGGATTACCTAGCTTTCATTTTATTTAACTTTCTTAAAACATTCTAATGCTCATAAACTAAATGCTTTTTTCTAGATAGAAACATGGCACCGCTGTCAGCTTTAGTATGACACACGACAGCCGGTTAATTCTTTTCCATTTAATGAATCAACCATTTTGTGCATCTGCACGTGAAGATCGAAGTGTTGGTTTTTAGAAATTAAAGAAAAAAAGAAAAATGTTGTCTGCCGCTCGCGCCCTTAGCAGGAAAGCCCTTGATTGCTCGAAAATCACTTTCGAAAAAGCTGGAAACAGAAATTTTAACCATTTTTCAAATAATGTAAGTTAATATTTTGACAAGTATTTTACTTTTATATAGAAATTATAAAGTGCCACAGTGATGTTACATAATGATTTCCAAGGGGCATAATTACTTTTCGTTTTACAAAAAAGTTTTATTAGAATTATGATAAATTTTTAATCACGTTAATATCATAAAAGTGAGGTTAATCAATCTAGAATTTCACAACTTTTACATCATTCTAATATCTGAATTCCTCAATTTAGGTTTAATGGTAAATTTATATTTATTTGGTGGCAAATAATATGTTTAATACATTTAATTGGGTCAAATTACTAATATTTAATATAGCTATTGGTGTGGTATCCAATCTTCATCCACATGATGAATAGAGTTGAATAGGACAATGATAATAGTTTAAAATATCATAAAGAAATAAATTCATTATGAAGGATTTGTAATTTACTGGCCAAGACCCACTGAACTTTTACACTCATTTTTAACATTTCCAAAACTATTGATGACTGTTTTGTAGCTTTGTAAAGATTTGGACAAGTATGTCTTAGTAAAGTAGATTTTGATAACTAAACCTATACAATATGAAAGTTTTCCGTAAATACTTAGTTTTCTGTAGTAGTTTCTGAAATTGTCACAATGTTAAGTACTTTTTTAACAAATCAATCATTGGTGCTGTGTAGTATATGTAGGACTGTATGTATAATGTCATAGACACTAAACACTAGCAGTAAAAGTAAGATGGTATAAATCTCGATGTATTAATGGTGTAAATTTTCTTAGCTAAAGTTTGTAGTTATTAGATTTAAAGTTATAAATAGCTGAACATGTATGCCCTATCCTCAATTTCCTATTCACCTCCAAAGAGATGCTGGAGAGAACAAAAAGTTATTACAGATGTCCCAATGTTTCTCGTCACAGTTAATATTATTTGAAACATAATCAGAATTATCTAGAAGCTTCTTGATTGTTCTAGAAGGTTCCATTGCAATTATGAATTATCTGGAATTTTCTAAATTGTTCTAGGTTATGTTTGCATTTCAGATTTTACTGAGAGCTAAAAAATTAGAAAAGAATTGAGATTGGCATTTTTGAATTTTTGAAATTTATTTGGAAGGCTGTATCAAAATAACTTACATTTTGCCAAACTACGAATATCATTTTTTCCAAAATCTTTTGAATAAAAAAAAGTGACAAAATATCTTGAGCCTTTCAAATATAGAGTGTTTTTCATGTTTTGCCGAAAAACACACTGGGAAAATGGCACCCAAGACAGCTGTAACTTACACCAATTTCTTTTTGTACAAATCAAAAATATGGGATTTTACTTTGTCCCCGATTTTTAACATATTATAAATTCAATAACATCTGAGACTATGAAGGTTATACTCCAGTCTCCAGAGAGGAAAATGTCACTGAACCTCTAAAAATTGTTCAAACAAGCTAAATTTTGCTGAGAATGTCAATTTTGGGACTCCAAAAAATATGTTAAAAATTTTTTCCACTCCTACCTCTGGGCTTCCTCCTAAAACCAACCTTTGTAGGGGGGAAAACGAAAAAAATTGATTATTCAAGAATCTGTAAGCTGTAGATGTTTCAAATAAAAAATGTAGCTGAGATAATTTTGAACAAAAAATTTTAGCACTTTGTGTATAATGAAGCATTCTCTTACAGACAACGCTTGAAGCGACAGGCGGTTTTGAATGCCAGTTACAAGTACAAAATCAATTTTAAATAAAATTTGTATCAGCTGTATTTTGCCGCAAATAAAATCAGTTTCTTTAAAGGTGTTAAATAAATAAATTTTTGCTATCTTTTATGAAGATCAATAAAATTTATCACTTTCATTGTCATCATTATGAAATTTTCATTTTTAGAGCCTAATCTTTGAAACCCATAGTATGAAATTTTGGTTTTGTGGTTTGGTAACAAATGTGAGGCATTTGAAATATGACCAAAAACATTGAAATTAAACTTTCACATTACAAACGTTCAAATCTTAAAATCTTAAAATATGTGTTTTTTAGGTATATTTCAAATGCTTATATTTTTTATAAAAAAATTTATTATCCAAGCTAATAGTTGGGTGGATCTGATGTAAAGAGAGTTATTAAACAATCGTAGAGTTATTAAACTTTTTGTTTATGTCATGTGAGATATGCTAATTGAAACCAGTATTTGTATAAAATGTATAATAATATAATATGTATTAAATATGAATGAATTGTAAACTATGCATTTAATCTTGTGATAATCTTTAGCAAAGTTGTTGTGCATGAGCCCACGAAGGTTTCTTAAGTTCGTACGACCAATTTTTAATAGATGAATGAATTTCATATATTGCAGTGACAGTTCATGCCAGTGATGACGTTTCGAGTTGTTGGTGACAAGAATTTATGTAAATTGTGAAATTCATGTCCAGCTCAAATTGAAGAGACAATATTGTGCATATTTTTATATTTGAGCGCGTTTTTCATAGTTTTGTGCAAGTTAATTAATAAATAATTCAATCAAATTTAATTCAATTGGATATCATCATGGAATGCTGTTTTTTTTTTCACTTCAAATTTTTTCAGCGAATTGGTGATCACCGGCAATATTAAAGGCCCTTTTTCACGCTACGTCTTATTGTACGTTTTGTTGGTCATATAAAACGTACGACAAAACGTACGTTTTGTCCAGTGTATACACACTACATTTTTCCTTCCGACAAGACGTACGTTTTGCTGTTTACATGCCACATTTTATTGTATAGGATTTGTCCTATCCAACAAAACGTACAATAAGACGTAGCGTGAAAGCCTTTACATTTCCATTTGTGTGTGAACAGCTGGTTTAATTGGATTTGATACATTGTCAGATTCAGATTGCTGATTGACATGTAACAAATTCAAATGCATGTTTTATGTCATTCTCATACAATTATGCCACCAAAGCAACAAGCAATTGGCCGATCTGCACCTCAAGTACTAAGAAAAGAACATTACGAGTCTCAGAATCAAACGAGCAATGAGCGTTAAGACTGGAAAATCTTCAAGTAAATGCTGTTGAATCATAGAAATATAATATAAGATAGACGGATTGTTGCAATACCAGCCCCTTCTCCAATGCGACAGAGAAAACTGGCGCAAAGCAGTCCCTGCATCTCTTTCTAATTTGCCAGGTTTATCGACCACGCAACCTAAATGATATATAATATAATATATATATATATATATATATATTATATATATATATATAAATATATTATAGTGAGGTTAGAATTGAATATGTACTACTCAGGCCCGTTAGTCTGAGACAACTGCACAACTGAAAAAAAAAGCTACAAAATGTTCAAATGAGCACTGCTCGATCAATACAAACACTGCACGCTGATTTAAATCTTTGTACCTTCCACTATGAGAGTAATAATGATTATACACTTCACTTCATCCAAGTGTCGCCATTAGAAAAATGAATAAAATTTGCATGTATTGTTGCGTCTTAAAAATTTAGGAACGAAACGCAAGAAAATCTCTGCGCCCGTGGAAAAGTTAAACTAGAATTACATGCAAGTGGAATAGGCAAGACTTTTCTTCTTTCACTCATTTTGACAACCATACAATCACAAAATAATATTGCATTGGCTATTACATCATCTAAATTTACGGCAATTCTTTTAAATGATGGCCGAACTTAGCATTGACACTGCTGTTAAATTTGCAAAACATTAAGGCAACAACATGCAATATTATCAAAAACTCTGGAATGGGAAAAGTCCTCCAAATGTGTCAAATTATCATATGGGATAAATGTACAATGTCTCACAAGGAAGCATTGGAAGCGCTTGATCGTACATTGCGAGATTTGAAAGAAAATGCACGGATCTTCGGTGACGCTTTAATTTTATTGTTTGGTAACTTTTGGCAAACACTGTCGTTATATCACTTTCAACAACCGATAATGAACTTAATGTATGTCTCAAATAATCAGTTTCATAGCGTCATTTACAAAAGTTGACTTTGAAAACCAATGTTTGTGTACATCTACAACATGCTGGAAATTTTTAAAAACAATGAATGGATATTGGAAATGGATGAATGGAAATTGATGAATCTACACAATGTATCACCTTGCTAGCAAACTTCTGTAAGATCAAAGAAAGCATAGAGGAATTGGTGCAAAAAGTTTTCTCAAACATTGCACAGAACTATAAAAATTATCAATTGCTCAATATGCTATATTAGCAGCCAAAAAAATCAATGTCAAAACCATCAACTTACACTTGATTTTCCAGGCATGCCACCGCAAGTTCTTACATTGAAAAATGGCATACCCATAATTCTTCTTGGAAACATAAATTCACCACGACTTTGTAACGGAACCAGACTCAGTCAAGAAAATGATAAACAATGTTATTGAGACAACAATTTTCGTTTAAAAATTCAAAGGTGTAGATGTATTGTTGCCACATATCCCAATGATCTCGACATATATGCCATTCGAATTCAAACATTTACAATTGCTGGTGCAACTCGCTTTCGCAATGAGTATAAACAAAGCACAGGGACAATTGTTGCAAATGTGTGGATTAAATTTGGAGAATCCATGCTTCTCACATGGGCAGCTCCTACGTTGGAAAACCTGATTTATTTGTTTATGCACCAGAAGGAAAAACAAGAAATATTGTGTATCTCACAGAACTTCTCTAAATATCAAATTGAAATGAATCACTGCAATATCACATTTTTTTTTTTTTTCATCAATGTCTTTTGTTCAAATTTATTTTAGTTGGTGGCGTAGCAACGCACCCACATTACAGCTAGTTTTGTATAAATGTCAATGACTAGAGGTGTGAAGCAATAACCACAAAGCATTAAAATCTAATTAAACACTGATTTCAAAAGTTAAGTTAAATCTTCAAGAGTAAATTATCAATACCTCTCACAATAATTCTAATACAAACTCTGTATTTGCCATTTTACCTTCTATATCCAGATGCTGGAATGTCAAATAAGGTTTATTGTATAATTATTGTCTTTGTCCAAAAATATATTTGATAAAAGCAGAAACATCACAAGAAAATAGATTGTTTGCAAAAATTACGAGAATATTGAAGGTTTAAAAGGAAAGTTGTATAATATATTGCTAAAGTTCATCAAAATTGTAGTCAATTCTTACACCATTATAAAAAAACTAAAAGAATCCCTTATACGAGGTGACTAACACCAAAATGAAGTAGAAAACTGTTAAATTTTCAATTATATTTAAGGTACTATTAATGTCTAGAATGCTAAAAAAAGGCAATTTTTTTTGTATCATTATTATATATGGCAATTAAACTTCTTTTGAAGATTAGAAAAAAATATTTTCTAAAAAATTACAAAAAATACTCTAGAATTTTTTCAGTCACAAAAATTTTATTATTTTTATTTGGTCAAACTGCGGGAAACTATCATAGAGAAAACCAAAACAAACAAAATTCATCAAGGTTTAATAAAATCAACCAACTAGATGCGTAGATTAAAGATTTTGAGGAAAACTGCATTTCTTTTTTTTCCTTTTTGTCTACTAGAGTTATTTGCCGTTCCAGAGATTAACTGTCTGCCATGGAGCAATGGAAGAAAAGTTTTTGGCGTCATTTAAATAAAAGGAACAATTTAAAAAAATTGTTATCTTCAAAACTTGTATAATACAGTATAGCCCAAAATAAACTGTACTGAACTTGTAATTATTTTATTGTTTTTAAAAATACATATTACTGACACTTTATAACATGTTCTAAATGAGCTCCTCTCTCAAGACAGACTTCATACCGATATTCCAGATTTCTCGTAATGTTATGGAATAAAGGTTGTCTCAAGTCTGGGAAGAAGGCTCTAAGGACATCCTTTAACTCATTGATGGTTTGTGGTGCCCGTTTAAAAACGGCAGTTTTAGCCATGCCCCAAATGTATGCGCCTGAAGATGTTAAGTCTGGAGAATGTTCAGGATAGGGGAAGTCAGTAAATTGTGAAATGAATTTGTTTGGAAAATGTCTCTGAAGAAATTGACGAACTGCGACAGCAGTATGGCAACTTGCCCATCCTGCTGGAAGAATTGGTCTCGAAATTCCAAATTACGTGCACGGCAAAATTGACGTAGATCAGGGATAAAGCGTGTTAAAATTTGTATGTACCACTGTTGATTAAGTGTGACTTACTACCATTTTCCTCAATAAAGTATGGACCAATGATTCCATGTCCCGAAACTGCACACCAGGCACCCACTTTTGCGCTATTTAAAGGAGCTTCTTGAACTTCATCTGGTCTGGCAAAGCCCAGAAATAGATTTGGGCGAAGATTTACATGGCCTGACAAATGAAAATGTGCTTATGAATATTCCACTCTACTGTGATAATCCTGGGATGTAATTGTTGATGTACCTGAATCACATACGAAAATGCTCCTTCAGGATTCTTTGCAAGGAAGTGCATTTTAAGCCAAGATGCAACGCTGTTCTTGTCTGGCTGGCTTTCCGATTTTCACTCAAAAATACGTTCAGGGTTATCGTTGTTAACTGTCCTGGGACGCCCTGAGTTTCCTTTTCATTGGTACAATACATTACCTGTATTTCTAAACTTTTCAACAACCTTCAAAATTACAGCATTACTTGGAGAACATTTATTAAACCATTGTGTGAATTTATCACTCACATATTGCAGACTTGCACTATTACGTCGACCGGATTCCGTATGAGCGAAATTAATGCTCCACAAGAAACACTTTCTTCTCTGTAACACCATTTTTAACAATTAGGCCTTAATAATTAAATTTTTAAATATTACTTAACAGGTCTATATTAGTTCATGTGAATATGACAGCACACACCAAGAGACATCTATGTTTCAGTTTCAGTACTGTTTATTTTGGGCAATAAAAGGTTGATTGCCATACCTATATAATATGTATAGTGTGTGTTTTTATTCTTACTTGAATATTAATTTGGTATATTTTTACTTACAGAGATCTCCCCTTTACGCACTAAACCCAAAATATGACATTCAATTGCGACACAAGTAAGTATAACTTAATAAATATGGCTATATGCATGATAATCATTATTAACATTTTAGATCAGAAGGCATCAAAGGAGCTGTTATTGGTATTGATTTGGGTACTACAAACTCATGTGTTGCTGTTATGGAAGGTAAACAAGCCAAAGTTATTGAAAATGCAGAAGGTTCCAGAACAACACCTTCAGTAGTTGCTTTTAGTAAAGATAATGAACGTCTAGTTGGTATGCCTGCTAAGAGACAGGCTGTAACAAATTCTGCAAATACATTTTATGCCACTAAACGTTTGATTGGCAGAAGATTTGAAGATGATGAAGTTAAAAAAGATATGTAAGTAAATTTTTGGCTTACAAATAATGCAATAACTTTGTAGAATCTTTTTCTTAGGTCCTATCTCCATTACTGAAGCTCGGCTATAGATATATCAAGTTGTTCTCTGTTTAATGATGTCATTTATAAGTAGTAGATGTATAACTATATCTTATCACCTTTTGTTCTTTAATCAGATGCTTCTCAATAAGTTCTGGATATTCAATGTATGATAAATTCGCACCTGCTTTCTTATTCCTACTTAATATTCAAGTATTAATTAGAACATGCATAACACAGATGTTCTGTTCCTTGTATTTGCCGCATTTATCAAAAGTTTAGTTTTTTTTTTGTAAAAAGGTGAAAATGTATTGTAATTTCTAGTTTATTTGAGTTTAATATCATTTTATTGCACATTATTCCTTTTAGGAAAACTTTATCCTACAAAATAGTTAAAGCATCAAATGGTGATGCTTGGGTACAGGGAAGCGATGGAAAGATGTATTCTCCTAGTCAGATAGGAGCATTTGTTTTGGTTAAGATGAAGGAAACTGCAGAAGCGTACTTAAACACCAAAGTAAAGAATGCTGTAATCACAGTACCTGCCTACTTCAACGACTCACAACGTCAGGCTACCAAAGATGCTGGACAAATTTCTGGTCTTAATGTTTTGAGAGTCATAAATGAACCCACAGCTGCAGCTTTAGCTTATGGCATGGACAAAACAGAAGATAAAGTGTAAGTATAATGAGTTATAATAATACTGTACTAGGTAGTAACCATGGTATCTACATTTTAGTATTGCTGTTTATGATTTGGGAGGTGGTACCTTCGATATATCTATCCTGGAAATCCAAAAGGGCGTTTTTGAAGTAAAATCAACCAATGGAGACACTTTCCTTGGAGGTGAAGATTTTGACAATGTCCTGGTCAATCATCTTGTTTCTGAATTCAAGAAAGAACAGGGAATTGATATAACTAAAGATCCAATGGCAATGCAACGACTTAAAGAAGCTGCAGAAAAAGCGAAAATTGAATTATCTTCTTCTCTTCAAACAGACATTAATCTGCCCTATTTGACAATGGATGCATCTGGCCCAAAACATATGAATCTCAAATTGTCTCGATCTAAATTTGAAAGTCTAGTTGGCGATCTAATTAAGAGAACCATCAATCCCTGCCAAAAGGCTCTGAAGGATGCTGAGGTTTCTAAAACAGATGTTGGTAAGTTAACTAGATTTTTGTAACATCTTTTTTTATTAATAAAATGTTTATTTTTAAGGTGAAGTTCTATTAGTTGGTGGTATGACTAGGATGCCAAAAGTACAGAGTACAGTTCAAGATATCTTTGGAAAACAACCTAGTAGAGCCGTCAATCCAGATGAGGCTGTAGCCGTAGGTGCTGCTGTCCAAGGTGGTGTTTTGGCTGGTGATGTAACAGATGTCCTTCTATTAGATGTAACTCCCTTATCTTTGGGTATTGAGACTCTTGGAGGTGTATTTACTAGACTCATTAATAGGTAAGATAAAGATTTTGTGCAAAATTTGATTTTAATTCAAAACTTAGCTTGCAAAATAAAAATTGCCCAGAAAAATGATTTTGCAAGGATAAAGATAAATATTTGTGCTTTACTTACATCCTTGTAAGATTTATTTAAATCCGTTTTGAAATTCATATCGATCTTTTATTTGGTCTTTCTGTTGTATCATTTGTGAGGAATTGTTTTCTTCCCTTTTTATGTTTTGTAGGTTTGTGTCTATACTTCACATGTTTCTCATCTATTTAAATGACTCTGCCCGTAATATACCAGGACTAAGCAACTGTTTCTTTGCATCACATAGTGTATCAGTGTCCTAAGCCTACTTCTTAGTAGTAGTACTTGTGTATGGTACAGGATGCACAAGTACTCATTCACAATATTTCACACTTAAATGTTGTGTGGCCAGATTCTAGAGACATGCCGAGCTGAATCACTTAGTTGAGGACATAATATGGCACAATCACTATGGCACGCAGCACCTTATTTTGGAATCTCTGTAAGATGTTTTTATTGGAGACACTGGCGGTGCCCCATAGCTGGAACCCATAAGTCCACATGTGCTTAAGGATAGACTTGTATAATAAAACTTTGTTGTCCAAAGACAATTTTGATTTGCGGCCAATGAGCCAATAAATATTCCAGTTTCGCTAACTCTATATTCTGGTTTGTTTGCTTCAATGCCTAAGAGTTTTCATACTAAAACTCACAGACAGAGAGGTAAATTTAAAACAAAAAATTTGAAACATCCTTGTGAATTCAGTTTTGTAAAATAGGTCATCTACAAAAGATTCTAGAAATAGTATTCTATGATATATTTATAATATTCTAGAGTCTATAGTAACAATATGTTGTCAACAACATCGACGCTGTAATGCTAGTATGAGTTTTTTCTGACAGCTAGATATATCCGTTTGATATTTCAAAATTAACTTTTCATTATACTATAATTTAGCAAACTCAACTGTTTTAGCACTAGACAAATGTTGTAAAAATTTAATATCATTTGTCATTTTGAGATTTTTCATATAATAATAGTCTCCCTTCATACCGTTATCGCAACTTTGGGAATATAGCAGGATAGTCTGCTACTCTTGGACCTACACAAGGAAGGTAATATAACTAGTGATACGCTTCAACCGCTATTACTCCTGGTTTTACCCAAGCTACTCAATTTATTGAGGCTTAGTCGACCTGGTGCTTGTAGATATTTTAAAAATATCTAAATATTTTCACTGGTGCTGGGAATCGATTCCTGGCCTTTTGTCTTGATAGTTACGACACTCTACCGCCGGAGCATCCGACCCATTAATTTCTTAAAATTAAAATTTATTTTCTTTATAGAAATACTACAATCCCTACCAAGAAGAGTCAAGTATTCTCAACAGCTGCTGATGGTCAAACTCAAGTAGAAATTAAAGTCCACCAAGGCGAACGTGAAATGGCAACAGACAACAAGCTTCTTGGTCAATTCTCCCTCATTGGTATTCCCCCAGCTCCTCGTGGTGTACCACAAATTGAAGTAACTTTCGATATCGACGCTAACGGCATTGTACACGTATCAGCTAGAGACAAGGGAACCGGAAAAGAACAACAAATTGTAATTCAATCTTCTGGTGGTTTGAGCAAGGATGAAATCGAAAATATGGTTAAAAATGCTGAAACAATACGCACAACAGGATAAGGTCAAGAAAGATAGAGTTGAAGCAGTAAATCAAGCTGAAGGTAATGAAGTTATCAATAAATATAAATTCATATTATCATCCATACATCCTATTACAATTTCAAAATAAATTTAGTAAATAAATTGATCTATTTTTAAATTAATGCAAATACTTGAGACCATAATGTCAAAATCGTTCTTTATGTATTAAGAACAATAAGTGATCTTATATTTGTTTCAAAGATTTACAAATAAATCTGTATATCTCTGTATTTAAAAAGCTTTCAGATTTTTTAGGCTTGTATCCAAATCACTTGTTTTTAATGCAGTCAACTTTTTGAACTGGCTTCGTCGATATAATATTTTATAGACAGTTAGGTTTTTAACATCAAATAAATCGACCAGGATATTGATATATTATATATTTACAATATTTCTATCTTTTTTAACATTACATCGTGCCCTGAACATATATTGTTTCTCACATTGTACTTTCTGATGTCAGGAGATGTACTCGGAATACCACTTTCACTATTTTCGGCCTTTTTTTTTTTGAACCTATTCTCTATCCTTCCATTGTTGGATATAGGTCTCCCCCAGTTCTCTCCATCTTTCCCTATCTTGAGCTGTTCTCTGCCATGTGGGACCTCCTTGTTTCCTGATGTCATCTTTCCACCTCATCTGTGGTCTGCCTCTTGATCTCTTTGCATTGTATGGACGCCACTTTCCGATGGCATTGTTCCATCGTCCGTCTTGGAGACGTTCATTGTGTCCAGCCCATTTTCATTTCAGGTTTGCTGCTTGTTCTATCGCGTCTACTGTCCTTGTTCTGGTTCTGATCCACTGGTTATGTTTTCTATCTCTAAGTGATACACCCAACATTTGTCTCTCCATCGCTCTTTGTGCCTTCCTTATCCTATCCAAATTGGCCTGTGTAAATGTCCATGTCTGTGCTCCGTAGGTGAGCACCGGTATGATACAGGAGTTATATACCTTGCTTCGTAAGTACAGAGGGATTGTTTGATTTTTTAGAACGTAAGAAAGTTTGCCGAACGCTGCCCATCCCATTCTTACTCGTCTCGATATTTCGGCTGTTTGATTTTCTCTATTAGCTTGATTGCTTGTCCTAGATAGATATACTCATTTACCTGTTCTATTTTTTCTGTTTTTATTTTAATTGCCTCTTGATCTTCCGTGTTTGTCATTACTTTTGTTTTGTTGAAGTTAATTTTTAGGCCTTTTTGCACTGATTTTTCATGAAGTTCATTCAGCATTAATTCCAGTTCTTGTCGTTCCGAGGAGATCAGGAGTATATCATCCGCATATCTAAGGTGATTTAGGTATTTTCCGTTAATACATATTCCTCTGTTTTCCCAATCTGTTGATTTTATTATGTCTTTGAGGGTCAAGGTAAACAGTTTAGGTGAAATTATATCGCCTTGTCGGACTCCTCGTTTAACTTTTATATTATCGGTTAATTTATATTATATATTATTTGTCGTCCAGAATTACGGTCATGGTTGCATTTTGGTAAATATCATGTATCAATTGTCGGTATCTTGAATCTATTCTACTATTGACCAGAGCTTCTTCAACCGCCCAGTGTTCAATGCTGTCGAAAGCCTTTTCATAATCTACGAATGCTAAGTACAGCGGAAGGTTGTATTCATTGGTTTTCTCAATTAAGATTTTAAGCGTATGTAGATGGTCGATTGTGCTGTATCCTTTTCTGAATCCGGCCTGTTCCACTGGTTGGTAGTTATCAAGTTTATAGGTTAGTCGGTTGTTTATTATTCTTGTGAAGGTTTTATATAGTTATGACAAAAGGGAAATAGGACGGTAGTTGTTTAGGTCTGTTCGGTCTCCTTTCTTATGTATTAAGATTGTGTTGGCATTTCTCCATTGTTTGGGTATTTTACCTTCAAACAGACATTTGTTGAACAGTATTTTTAGCATTTTTTTTATCGTGTCTCCTCTTTGTTTTAGCAGTTCCGCCAGTATTTTGTCCTCACCGGCCCGCTTTATTTCTTTTCATGTCGTTATGGATTTTTCGATTTCATCTTCAGTTATTTCTGGTAATACCTCTGAGCCAACATTTTGTATTTTGTATATTTTTGTAATTTTCGGCCTATGATATATAAACAAGTAAAACGAACAACTTGCTTAATTCTTCTGCATGCTTTTAAGTCTATCAATTTAAATGATTATATAATGGTATAAATCGCTACAGCGATAAACATAAACTTTTTTTTTGTCATTGACAGGCAAAAAAGCATCTTTTATAAGCGATTGTAGAAAATTTTTTTAATATACTGATTAATACTTAACTTTTATTTTATTTTAGGCATTTTACATGAAACCGAGACAAAGATGGAAGAATACAAAGATCAGTTACCAAAGGAAGAATGTGACAAATTAAAAGAAGAAATTACTAAAGTTAGAGATTTATTAACTAAAAAAGATGAGACAGATCCCGAAGAAATCCGCAAAGCTACAACCACCTTACAACAATCATCACTTAAATTGTTCGAAATGGCTTACAAAAAGGTAAGAATTTTGTATTTTGTAGTTTGAACACTCGCATCATCCAACTTTTTATAAATCATCTAACGAACATCTTCAACGCATGGTCCATCAGTGCAAATGAATAAAATTATTATTTTAAAGTTGTGACGCTTTGACAATTAATATTTTGTTTGCCATTACATTTTCCGCAGTACTAAAAATTCGCCAATTATGAATTAATGATTGGTTAATAATTTTTAAATATACTGTTTTCGTTTTCAGATGGCTGCTGAAAGAGAATCATCAAGCGGTAGCAGCAATCAACAACAGGAACAGCAACAACAACAGTCAGAACAACAAAAGAAAGAAAATTAAACTAGTGATTTTCCATAAGTTTTATATACATTCTAGTGTAAATATGTGATGTTATTTCGTCGGGAGGTACAGATTTCCTGTTGAGTAGCCTTGATGACGGAAGTTTCTTTTCCAATTTAAAACAATGCAATTTGGCATCTATGTAGCAATTTTATGTTGGAAAATTATTTCAAGTTCTTGTATACAACTTCCTCATTGGACTGATGCTGTGAAAGACTTGGTGAATGATGTATGAATCGATCAGTTAGTGTGTGTTGTTTCATAGTTCGCTATTTTTACCGAATGTGTTATGAATTTCTGTTAATATAAAATAAATTTTTCATAGAAAAAATGTTAATTGTATTATTTCCAATTTTAAAAATCAACCAACAAAAAATAGAAATATCGAGTGAATACTACAGGAGAAAACCAAGGTAACTCGAAAATAATGTTATAGTCCAATAATGAATTAAACAGAGTAACTGATTGGCAACACTCAAATTTTGGGCTATCTACGATTGGAAAATTTCCAGCGGCTTTACCATCTCATAGACACAACAATCAGCTAACCTCTACTATGAATAAGGAAATATGTGCTGCGATGGCGTGTGTGAAGATCATATTACCAGCGAATTCTTACTTGCCTACATATTCCATTTCTGTTGCTTGTTGAAAATTAAATTATCTGGTATACTAAAACAATTTTTAATTGAAGGTGATTAGTTGGCAACATCGCACTTAAAGCAACGAAACGATATTCCACTTATCAATAATATTTTAATTACTTATTCAAACACATATGAGTACAGTACTTGAAAAACACAGAAAAGTTTGCAAAATAATTATTATATTCTCTTTATATAGACGGAGAACTACAAAGCAAAGAAATAATTACCTGTTAAAGTTATGTCTATGAAGTTTCTGAATCCAGCGACTCGCACATTAAATATACTTGCAATATTACATTGCCATATTAATCTTCTGAAAATAAAAACCTTTTTGGCCTATTTACTATTCAACCACTCCTTGTGCAAAATTAATTATTTATATTTGATCTGTGTGACCGACCTATTTAAGCTAACATTTGAATTGTTATTACTTTGAAATGAAATTGGTGTATTGTTGTTCATATTTGGAGCCTCATCAAAGTGGAACTAGCTGCTGTACTATTTTCACATGCTTAATTATCACTTCAGTATTATGTCTACCAATTGTACTGACAGGCTTTATTATATGTTGTCTGTTCTTACGATAATGTACATTTTCAGGTGTTCTGACGACATATGTTCTTGGAAAAGAACCTATTTTTTATTATAGTAGCTGGTAACCACGGTGATGATGGAAAGTTTTTATAAAATACATTTTCCCTAACAGACTTGGTAGGTTTCTTGTTGAACTATCGTAATATTATTTTACTTTACTTTCTTTTTCCTTAACAAATTTGTTATATTCATCCATATCAATTGTTTTTGGTATGAGCACATTTTCACTAACAGGTAATTTCATTCATAAATTATGCCTTCTTTTTATATGACTGTCTGTTTTTCAATGTGCCTCCAGTAAATTGTCATTCCATCGTTTTCGTGGTCTTCCTATTGGGAAGCCGTCTCTTGTCTTCTTTACTACTCTAGTTGCTGTCATTCGGCTTATATGATCGTTCCATTCTACTCTTCTATTTCTTACCCAGTTTTTAATGTTCTCCACCTTGCATCTATGTCGTATATCTGTATTTCTGGCTCTGTCACATAGTGTCTTACCATCAATTTTTCTAAGTGTTTTCATCTATGCTGTTTCTAACATCCTTTTTCTCCTTCCTGTGTCAGGTCTTGTTTCTGGCGCGTATGTCATTATTGGTCGGATGACTGTTTTGTAAATTCTGCCACTAGTTTCTTTCCCGATATTTTTATTTCTTCATATTGTTTCATTTAGGCAGCCTGCGGCTCTGTTTGCTCTATTCACTTGATCTTCCATTTCGATTTCGAGCTTTCCGTAGGTAGATAATGTGATTCCTGGATATTTAAACTCCATCACTTGTACTATTATCTGACCTTCCTGCTAAAATTGACATCTTAGTAAATTTGCTGTTGTAACCATGCATTTTGTCTTTGTTGGGGAAAATAACATGTTAAATTTTCTGGCGGTTATATTAAATTGGTGCAGCATACGTTGTAAATCATCTTCAGTTTGAGAGTAGTATTACATCGTCGGCGTAGCAGATTATTGTAAGTTGTTTAAATTATGTGACATTATTAATTGAGCTAGAGAACAACCACATTAGTGTTGTATTTCTGTATTGAAACATTCCCTGATAAGGATCAGAGCCTGACTCTATACACTTATTAAAAATATTCGTGACAGTCTGAACTGTTCTTTCTATCAAACAAATCATGGTATTCCATGTCTCGCAATATTTCAAAATATTTCGAATAGTAATCTACTAATAAAATATATGTCACTTTACTATACTAAAAAAAACCAACACCAATTTTCTGCCCAACGTAAAGTCGGTATTTCATATGGTAATAGTGGTTTGGGACTATTTGATCTATGATATTTAATACATGCCGGATACTGTTCAATTTTATTCTTTATATCCACTGTCATTCCTAGCCAAAAACCACTTTATGTGCTTACTGAATACATTTTTCATATCCTAAATGACCATGAATTATTTCCAATATCCCACTTCTGACAATGTGTATTCTACTCTGTGGACTTCTTGTTATAATAGATGACTCATTTCTGTATATTTTATTTATTACACGACATACTAATACATAATTATCTCTAAGGAGCCATAAGACCAGTCTGTAGACTGTCAATGTCTGTCCTTCTCTTTCACTCCCGGGCTTCCTGTATTTGACATGCCACTAATGTTAAGTTAGGTTTACAAATATTAAGGTAGATTTACAACTTAACACAACATAATCCAGTTTTATTTTGTTGAAAAAAAAACTGCTTGTTCTTCTTTTATTATCATCAGTAGCTCGACAACCCTTTCTGGGTCCTGGCTTGTTCTAGGATTTTCCGCCATTCTGTTTTGTTCCTTGCTTTGTTTTTTCAGTTGGTAATCTTGTTTTCAGGTCTTGTTCCATGTATCTAAGTTTGGGTGTTCCCTTTGACCTTCTCCCTACTGGTGTTTGCCTCACTATATTTTGGTGTTTCAGTCTGCAACATCCGTTCAACATAGCCCATCCAGCGCAGACGTCCAATCTTTATGGATGTTATGACATCGGGTTCATTGTATGCTGTGTATAGTTCAAAATTATATCTTCTGCGCCATATGTCATTTTCTTTCACCACCTTTCTTTTCAAGTCTAAGGATTTTTCGTTCAAACGTACCTAATAGATTCCATCGCTTTTCGACAGTGTCCATATCTCTGATCCATATACAAGGACCGGTTTTATCAGGTTTTGTATATTTTGCATTTGGTTTTTCTTGTGATGTTGTTAGGTCTTAGATGTTTAATTAGTCCATTATATGTCTTGTTATCGATATGTATTCTTCTCTTCTTCACTGACAGTGTTATCTGCGGTAACTAGTGAACCTAGATATGTAAAATTGTTCACGCTTTCGATGTTATAGTCTCCTATTGTCAGATTCTGTAGGTTTCTTTGGCCTGTCGATTTGCTGGCCTTCATGTATTTGGTTTTTATTTCGTTAATGTTTAGGCCACTGTTTTGTGCCGCTCTTTCTATCGCATTAAATGCTTCTATCATCTCTTTCGCTTCTAGCTATGATATCAACATCATCTGCAAATGCCAATATTTGTACACTTTTTGTTATTATTGTTCCTCTGGTGTTGACTTTTGACTCTTTAATTATTTTCTCTAATGTGATGTTGAATAGAATATAGGATAGGGCACATCCCTGTCGTAGGCCCGTTCTCACATGAATTGTATCTGTTAGTGCGTTTTGAATTCGAATTCTGCTTTGTACTTTAAGTGTTTCTTTTACTGTATCAATGCTATCATAGGCACTCTCAAAATCAATGAAAATATGATGTTGTTTTTCAGTCTGGTAACTGCATTTCAGCAATTGAAGGGGGGGTTCTCTGGTATCCGTTTGATCCAGTATAATTCCATCATAATATGACGTGTATGTTCGTTTTTTTCAAACTTTTCTTTGAAGAATTCTGTCCAACTTTGTCGTATTTCACTCTGTTGAGTTACTATATCTCCTTTGTCTCTACACATAATTTTTCTTGATGGTGTTCTTCTTTACTTTAATTTAAAATTAATATCTTTGGGGACATGTACGTTGGTTGTATACTAACTTCAAGCCAATTTCAGTCGAAATTAAAATTTGTCTAATGTAGCAAAAAATGAATTACTAACTTTACTATACACTTGCGATTGGGATCAGTGAAGCGAATATACAAAGTAAATTTTGTTTTACAAAAATGACAGTTAAAATTTTGGCAAGAGCGTTTTTGACAGTGTAAATTTTGGTGAATTCAATTTTTTTTAAAAAATTCGACAATTAGAAATGAATTTGTTACTCAACTTAAACGTATGTATTGATACATGAGGCATTTGAAATAGGCGCTGATCTATATTTATATCTTTAGTATTCTCAGTATTCAATCTAAACTTTATTCCCCTGCTGCTATGCTAGGTTTACTGTGTACGTGTCTCATAATTTATTGGAACTTAAATGGATATTAGAATATTAATAGAAATAAAAGGCACATCGGAAATAACGGGAGTTTATTGGATCGAATTTCTTACACACAAAAAATATGTATCTAAATAAATTTAAACAGAAATATAATACTTATATAATAATAAATACTACACGTATATACTAATATGTACATTTTTAAATTTATCCACTGAAGATAAATCATTAGTACCTTTCATATATGAGATAAAAACGACAAAAATACAAACAACCATTCATATAATAAAAAAACGTCCATTCAATTGTTTTTAAGATTTTTTTATTATCACAAAAGCTTTTTCATAGGTATTTCGTTATATCTAAAAATAAGAAAGAGAACTTTGATTATTTTTTAATACTCACAATATGGAATTTTTAGATATTCCTTTAGTCATTGAAAATTAATACAATGTATCTTTTAGTATGTAAATAATCAAAAGTTCTTCTTTAACCCTTAACCTGAAATGTGTCGAATATGCGACTAAGCTACTACAACCGATCTTAAAATATTGATAGAGAGTTGATAAAGAGTCAACGCGCCCCCAGCAAATAGTTTATTGATCGGCTTTACATGGGTACTATTCTTTAAATACAAATGCTCGTTTATTCCGAGGGCAGTGTCCTAGAACGTCAAGATATCGGATCGTACAGAATGGCCTGTTTTGCATGAGTACTAATTTTTA